TGTATTCTTGATACTTTTAAATCACTGTAGTCTATAAGTACAATCAGTGGGGAAATTCATATTAAATATTTATGCTGTTTTTTATTCGATTGAAAAAAAAACTTTTAGTGCCAACCACACCTGAAGTTTTGTATTTTAAATGGGCATAAAAATATGGGATAAACTGGACTTAATGTTTTTTCGACCTTATTCCTAGAATTTGGAATTTTCATCATAAAGAGGATATTATATTTCATTAGAATTTTGTTATTGAATTTATATATTGAATTTTAATTATCTGTTTGAGTATATTATGTTTTATCTATGGKTTTTTTTCCGTATTCTTTTTTTAGTTGGCATTGTGAAGGGATAAGTGGTCAAAAAAATATCAGCCACATCTGTTGCATAATTCTGTGCACACCTACAACTAAAAGATATAATATGCAAAATTCTAAATGCTTGTAAATAGCTTAAAATTAGTAAAATCAATTTTCAYTATGTATAGAAAATTATTCTTTTAGTAATAATGAAATGTTTTGTCATCAACACTAACTTAGAAATACATCAAAGTTGCTATTTTTACATGCTTTTCTTTAACTCACAATGTTTCATTCATTCATTCATTTCTGTTGTCGTCAAATCTTGCGAGTTCAATTTAAATCACTTCTACATGACCTAGGAGGCTCAAATTTTGTATGGAAGTCTAGGGTCGGTGACAATACATGRCCCTGTTGTCAATTCTTGACTTGGACAATTGACAATTGACAACGGGGTCAAAGTTGCTATTTTTTCTTAAAATGCTCTTAGTTCTTATATCAGTGGTTCCCAACCTTTTATGAGTGTAACCCTAAAATTTTAAATTTAACTTTTGGCGACCCAAAAACAAAGAACATAATTTTTTTTTTCCGAAATTGAAATTATAATATAATAAAATATAATATGTAAATGTAAGAAAAGCTTTTGCGACCCACCATGAAAACCTCTGCAACTCTAATTTGGGTAGAGAGTTCCAAGGTTGGGAACTGCTATCAGATATTTTTAATAGTATCATTAATTATATTAACCATATATATTTCAAATAGCTCTTAAATAAGACAATAGTCAATTTAAATAACCGTAAATAAGAATTTTTTCAGAATCAACATCACAAATACATTGAGTTAAAAAATAATCCATATTACTCTATATTTTCAGATTCGAAAAATTGTTATTGATAAAGGTAAAGATTCTTTATTGGTATCATTATGCTTTGCACTCAGTTTACTAGGAAGACGGTCACTGGGTTTAGCATCGCATACTACTATGTCAAGGTATGTAAACATTAATCATATAATAATTAGTTTAAATTGATCAATCAATTCATTTTTTAGTGTCGAGTTTTTCCTCTATGGCCTCCATGCCCTCTTTAAAGGAGATTTCCGTATAACATCAACAAGAGATGAGTGGATATTTGCAGATATGGACTTGATGCGTAAAGTATTAGCTCCAGCAATTAGGATGTCGTTAAAACTTCATCAGGTGTGTAATCTTCATTTAAAATATTTATATATATATATTTATATTCATATAAATCCACAAACTTATGTTTGAATATAGAATCATTTTATGGTTCCTGACGAATATGAAGATCCAGCTGCTTTGTATAGTGCTATAAACTACCACCAACGGAACTTAGTGATATCACATGAAGGAGATCCTGTTTGGAGAAATGCTGTTTTGTCTGGAATGCCATCATTACTTGCTTTAAGGTAAATCAATTGATTAGTTTTTAATATTCATACTTTTCATTTTGGTGTTAGTCATATTTTTATATGTCAATGTTCTACCATCTATAATTAAAATAATAAAAAAAATACTATAATGTAAGTAATAATAATAATAATATATTTAAATAAAATAGTGTTTTGAACATAACAGTTATAATTATCATTTATTATTTTGCAAATTATAAACAAAATCTAAATTAAAACAGGAATTTAATTCAGATATGTCTTACCTTCATTCTTTTTAAGTTAATGACAATCACTATTTTTTTAGCCAGATACCAGCACTGTTAATTTAATACTAAGTATAAATGTTTATCGAATATTGATTTAATATAGAAAATAGGAAGATAGAATTAGATGATTGCTAGAAAAGTTCAAAATATTTTTGTAAATTATGTTAAGGGAAAGAGTGAGAAATAGTATCTTAAATTTGTGCAGTTGAGTAACCCAATGGAAGCGCAATTTCCTGCAAGCAAAAGGGTAGGTTTGATTTCTGGTCAGGCAGCTTGATTTTCCCAATAGAATTAAAAACTTTTATCAATACTTAAAAACAAACATAAATAATGTACTATAGTCCTTGTTACATTCTCTTGTCAAATTCTATGATAGAACTGGAATCTCTTAGTTTGTTTTATTACAATTGTCAAATTATAATTATGCAGTCTCATCACATCCACATTTTTGGCTTGGCCTATATTTATCAATTACTCTATAAAGATTTAATCAACCATCCTGGTACAGCCATAAAATATTCATACTCTAGGCGAGTACCATAACAAAACAACCCCTTACCATATATTTTTATAACAATAATTTAAATGTATTTAAAAAATATATATTTAACTAAACTGTTTTATTTAATAGACATATAATGGATGAAGGTTCAGATGAATATAAAGTAATTATGTTGAACAAACGGTTCTTAAGTTTCCGTGTTATAAAAATAAACCGCGAATGTGTTCGTGGTCTTTGGGCAGGACAACAACAAGAATTAGTTTACCTAAGAAATCGTAATCCTGAACGTGGTAGTATACAAAATGCCAAACAAGCTTTAAGAAACATAATAAATTCATCGTGTGACCAACCTATTGGCTATCCAATATTTGTTTCACCATTAACTACTTCTTATGCTGAAACCAACRAACAATTATCATCTCTTGTAGGTGGTTCAATAAGCTTAGGAAAGATAAAACAATCTATCATTAGAGTATGGTCAAGGTAAGTTTAATATTACTATTTAAATTAAATACTAAATATTCTAATTTATATTTTTGTTTTCCATTTAGATTAAAAAGTAGATGTGTTGAGGGTTGTTCTAGTGGAAGTTCATTACAGTCACACGATGAAGGTGGATTCGGACATGAGGGTGTATATGCTATGACACAGTTTAATAGGCATTCTGGATATGGCACCAGAACACCAGGAAGTCAGTCAATTGAAATGAGTGGAAGTGGTAGTGGAGTGGGTGGTAGTATCAGCAGCAGAAGTGGTGGTACTAGAGGTAGTACAGCTAATGTTGCTGGCAAACCAAGTTCAGCTGGTTTGGCCAACTTGGCAGGGCTGTTATCATCATCACAGTCACCAATCACCAGTTCACCACAAGCATCTGTTGATAGTAATCCAAATGATAATTCTCCGATGCATCATAAAGTTTTGGTAGGTTTATCAAATAGAAATATAGAATCATAATGATCTTGAAAATATTTTATGACTTATTAATGTTGAAACCTTAATGTTTATCAGATTCTGGATCCATTACAAGTGTATGATGCTATTAACTTGGGCCGTAGAATAGATGTAGTTTGGCCAGATGAAAAAATGCGAATAAGGGGTGGTCGGAGTCACTGGAAAGATTGGTTACCAGAAAAAGGAATGGAAGGATTGGTAATGAATTTCATTTATGCAATTTTTTTTCTTTNTTTTGTATTGAGAGTACAAGTTACCAGAGAGGTAACCTTTTATAAATAAAAAATTTATAGAAAAATCCCATGGAAAAAAAAGGTCATTCAGTTTTCCTAAATTTTCCAACTTTTTTCTACAAAAACCGGACTATCGCAATATTTATAAAAAAATAATGAGCTAAAGYGGTCCAGCCTTTCCCAAGTAATGGGAGAACCAACAGACAGCATTTCATTATATAGATTAATATTAATGTAATACCTTATGTTTGACCTATAATATAAAATAATAATCATAATATGATATTTATATTTTTATTAACTTATATTCAGTCCCATAAAGGATAAAACAATATAAATAGGTTAATGGAGTAAACAATTTAAAATAAGTTAAAGTATTATGAAAATTTGTTTCTGTATCAACCTATATAAAATAAATAATAATTGTATAAGAAACAACAAAAAGTGTCAATTCAATTAGCATTTTTTAAATTTTAAATGAAWTACTTTAATTGTAAAAGGAAAAATAGTTATTTTTGAATATCCAATTTGTGACTTTTACAACTTAAAAACTTAAATGTCGTTAAAAAAGTTAGCCACRTGTATTCTTGATACTTTTAAATCACTGTAGTCTATAAGTACAATCAGTGGGGAAATTCATATTAAATATTTATGCTGTTTTTTATTCGATTGAAAAAAAAACTTTTAGTGCCAACCACACCTGAAGTTTTGTATTTTAAATGGGCATAAAAATATGGGATAAACTGGACTTAATGTTTTTTCGACCTTATTCCTAGAATTTGGAATTTTCATCATAAAGAGGATATTATATTTCATTAGAATTTTGTTATTGAATTTATATATTGAATTTTAATTATCTGTTTGAGTATATTATGTTTTATCTATGGKTTTTTTTCCGTATTCTTTTTTTAGTTGGCATTGTGAAGGGATAAGTGGTCAAAAAAATATCAGCCACATCTGTTGCATAATTCTGTGCACACCTACAACTAAAAGATATAATATGCAAAATTCTAAATGCTTGTAAATAGCTTAAAATTAGTAAAATCAATTTTCAYTATGTATAGAAAATTATTCTTTTAGTAATAATGAAATGTTTTGTCATCAACACTAACTTAGAAATACATCAAAGTTGCTATTTTTACATGCTTTTCTTTAACTCACAATGTTTCATTCATTCATTCATTTCTGTTGTCGTCAAATCTTGCGAGTTCAATTTAAATCACTTCTACATGACCTAGGAGGCTCAAATTTTGTATGGAAGTCTAGGGTCGGTGACAATACATGRCCCTGTTGTCAATTCTTGACTTGGACAATTGACAATTGACAACGGGGTCAAAGTTGCTATTTTTTCTTAAAATGCTCTTAGTTCTTATATCAGTGGTTCCCAACCTTTTATGAGTGTAACCCTAAAATTTTAAATTTAACTTTTGGCGACCCAAAAACAAAGAACATAATTTTTTTTTTCCGAAATTGAAATTATAATATAATAAAATATAATATGTAAATGTAAGAAAAGCTTTTGCGACCCACCATGAAAACCTCTGCAACTCTAATTTGGGTAGAGAGTTCCAAGGTTGGGAACTGCTATCAGATATTTTTAATAGTATCATTAATTATATTAACCATATATATTTCAAATAGCTCTTAAATAAGACAATAGTCAATTTAAATAACCGTAAATAAGAATTTTTTCAGAATCAACATCACAAATACATTGAGTTAAAAAATAATCCATATTACTCTATATTTTCAGATTCGAAAAATTGTTATTGATAAAGGTAAAGATTCTTTATTGGTATCATTATGCTTTGCACTCAGTTTACTAGGAAGACGGTCACTGGGTTTAGCATCGCATACTACTATGTCAAGGTATGTAAACATTAATCATATAATAATTAGTTTAAATTGATCAATCAATTCATTTTTTAGTGTCGAGTTTTTCCTCTATGGCCTCCATGCCCTCTTTAAAGGAGATTTCCGTATAACATCAACAAGAGATGAGTGGATATTTGCAGATATGGACTTGATGCGTAAAGTATTAGCTCCAGCAATTAGGATGTCGTTAAAACTTCATCAGGTGTGTAATCTTCATTTAAAATATTTATATATATATATTTATATTCATATAAATCCACAAACTTATGTTTGAATATAGAATCATTTTATGGTTCCTGACGAATATGAAGATCCAGCTGCTTTGTATAGTGCTATAAACTACCACCAACGGAACTTAGTGATATCACATGAAGGAGATCCTGTTTGGAGAAATGCTGTTTTGTCTGGAATGCCATCATTACTTGCTTTAAGGTAAATCAATTGATTAGTTTTTAATATTCATACTTTTCATTTTGGTGTTA